TACATTGAACTTTTATTCATCGCGCGGTAGACGATTAAAGTCACACCAAATGTATGTCGATCATTGCCCGATTCCAGGTGAGTGTACGTACTACATGTACACTATACAATACAAAATATGTATATACAATGTAAATATAAATATCGTGTTACAAACAGTTGTCGTTAATTATAAATAGGAAGTAGTTCGTCTCTTCTTTTTGCCCATAAAAAATACATTTCAATGCAACAAATAACCATTCTCTATAATTTTCTCTGTTTAAAAGTGCTTGTTCTTCTTTAATTTCTTTAACAAAAGCAAATGGCAACGCCTAATATATTTATTCCTTCGTACCCACCCAACATTTCCGTAAAAGAATTAATAAAACCTGCGAATCGTAAACAAAAAAAGCCGGCCAACGCACCTAACGCATTTATGATTTATCGAGCTAATTATTGTCGTGAAATTCGGAACGATCGAAAAATATCTCAGCCGGATATTTCTTCCATGGCGAGTCAAGCATGGAAACAAGCACCTCCAAATGTCAAAGAAACCTACTTGAAGCTTGCTAGACAAGCTAGAGAGATTTATTTGGCCCAAAAAGACGAAAATCATTTAATAACTGATGGCGATATTGATAGCAGTCAGTCAAGTAAATCACGAAATAGACATGACTTTCGAGCAACAATCAAAAGTGACGCCTTAATCAATAATCAACAAAACGGAATTACTGAGGAGATTAATCCTCTCGTATTTGGGACCATTGAAACGAAAGAGATATCGCTCAGTGATTTTAAATTCACAAATATACCATATTATTCTGATACCCTTGAGAATGAACTCGTCGTTAAGCAAAACGGAATTACTGAGGAGATTAATCCTCTCGTATTTGAGACCAATGAAACGAAAGAGATATCACTTAGTGATTTCAAATTTATAAATATGCAATGTCGTATTGATACCCTTGAGAATGAACTCGCCGCTCAGCAAAACGAAATAAATTCAATGAGAGAAATTATATTCAAATTATTTGTTTAATTAATTGGTTTGTCCATATCAAATACAAAGAAATCAAATTAACATGTAAACATTTGCGATAAATTTTAGTTTCGTAAAATACTACACATTGATATAGGATCAAGAGCACCGAATGCTTTTATTCTCTCTGATAAACATGCTGATAGAAAGCTAACCATTCTCTTTGTAATTTTTAACCTTTAAAAAGTTTATTTTCATCATTTCTGGGACTTATAATTAAATACGTTCTCCAAAAAGAACTAGCATATAACTACTTTTTTGAGTCACAAGCTTTCTCTTAAACGTGAAAAAATATTGTGGATTATTGATGTTTGCTAAAAGAAGTTGACAATTTACAGAATCACTTGCAACTGGTGACGAAATCAACCAATTCTGATTCTAATGCTTCGGATTCCACAATAACTACCTCGGATAATACAGTGAACCCTCTATAAATACAACTCCCCTAATCTTTTGCTCAGTTCCAAACATAGGACTTAATATAGCAAACTCCTCTATAAATGCAAAACTCCTATAAATGTAATGGCCCGAGAACTTTTTGGATTAATAAGCTAAATTTTTCAAAAGTAAGCTGATTAAAATGGACTTTAGAGAAAAGAGCGAGGTTAAAGTGGGTATTTGTAAAATTACAGTGGGTTCATCAAAAGTATCCAGATTTCGATCTGTATTTTGTGCCAGCTATTTAGATACTTCTGGTACATGTACAAATTTTATATAAACAAATAAGCGGTTTCAACGTAACACCACACAGGTCAAAGGTTGCTACGGCTGTTTGTGAAGCCTATGGAATCAAGACGCTATTTTGGCCTCCACAAAGTCCCGATCTGAGTCCATAGAGAATTTATGGCATGAAATGAGAGAAGCTATTCGTAGACGATCTCCCGCTCCGTCAAGTCTTCCGAGTTGCATGGAAAGATCTTCCACCCGATACTGTCGTAAACTTGTTGATAGTACGCCATAATTAGTAAAAGGTGTAAACCAATATCAAAACTAAAATTTAAACACTTACCTCATAGTCTTGGTTTTAAGTTGTAAAATTAAGTGACCGGATACTTTTGATCCATTGTATTTGGGTGATCAAAGTGGACATAATTTTTCAAAGAAAATTATTGATTGATTACAAGTCGTTTTTTTTCTCATTAAGAACATCGTAACTTTCAGTAAAAGAGAATATTTTATTAGAAATTTGTTGCATCCAATTATTAATTCTAAAATAATAGAAAAAAATAAAATTAATTGGTGAATTGATAATTATAATTATTATGACAAAAAATTGGTTTAGTTTAATAATTTCAAACTAAATAATCCGGTATAAATATTTAAGAAATCATAACAAATATTTTGATATATCAAATTTTTTACAAAGTTATTCCATTTTGAAAACTTAAAAAAATTTTTTTGTTTAAATTATATAAATTTTCACTTTGATTTGAAACAAACATAAATATCAAAGTACTTCTTAATTAAAATAGAAAAATTGAGTTTTAGAAGTTTTATAATAATTGAATAATCTAAAAATAAATAACTTGTATTTTATTATTAAATAACTAAAAAATAAATATACAAAATAAACAATAATTTTACAAAATAAATTAATAAATCTTTTTAATTAGGAGTGCAGACATTAGAACATGAAATAACTTAAGTTATAGACGTAACTAAGTAGCTATTCAGATATCAATATAACGTGAGGGGATAGCTACCCTTGACCTGAGAAATGTTTGTACTCCTATTTTTGATTCGTAAAATAATATAATTTTATTAAAAATATGCAAGTAAAATTGAATATTATATAAATTTTTTAAAAAATATTATTATACTAATATTAGATTATATGGTGCATAACATCGAAAGTCATCAAATATTTGTATTTTATAAACTATATAAACTTCTTTACTAAGAAGTAAATACAAGATTAAATCCGTGAATATGCTCAAAAAGGATCTATCTATCATACTCACGAATTAAATTTTGTATTTACTTCTTAGTAAAGAAGTTTATACATTCATAAAATACAATATTTGATGACTTTAGATATTATGCATCATACAAAATAAATTCCTTGATTTTTGTAATATCTTCTAAAATTAAAGATCAAAAAATCTGGATTTTTACTTTTTATATTTGTGAAATTTCTAATATTATTTAATAAGAAATTAATTTTTATAAAGTATTATTATTATTATTAAAAATTTAATATAATAAAATTAATATTATTATAATAATATTTTATAAAGCAGATTTTATTAATATATATAAATCTATAAAAAATATTACTATAATAAAAATATATTGTTTGAATTAAAAATTCTTATTATATAAAATAAATGAACATATTTTAATAAATAAATTATTATAATAAAATTATTATATTTTAATATTAATTTTTTTAATTTATTTCTAAGTAATAAGTAAATATATAATACATATTTATTTATTATTTGAAAACAAATTAAAAAGATTAATTTAAAAATATTTGCATATAGTTTTGATAAAAAGAAATAGTAATCAATTTTTTTATTATATTATATTCAATTTATATAATAAAATTAAAAAATATTATTTTAATAATGTTTTTGAATGAGGAATTATGCTTTTAAAATATCAGTATTTAATATAATTTCTTTTTATATTAATACAAGTTTGAATAAAATTTTAAAATTTAATAATTTAAAAATTTTGTAACCAGAACATTTTTTAACTAAAAAAAATCAAAAATTGTAATAATTCAATAAATATTATTTTGATTTAAATAAAATTATTGCCAAAATATTTATTTTATTTAATAAAATATTCTTTTTATATTATATATAAACTTTATTTTTGTTATTAATATTTTTTTATTATATTTATAACTTTGTAATATTATTTATAGTTTTACTTTTTAAATATTTTAATTTAGTAAATAATTTTTTTTGCTAATATTATATATTATATTTAGAGTTCTGAAAAGAATTTGATTTGGTTTGAGCTTGAACTGGACTCAAATATAATTTAAAAAATTTGAATTTAATTAAAAATTTGTTTCAAGTTCAATTTGAATTTTGAATTAAATTTAAATTTAGATAAAATTTGTTTTAATTCAATTTATAAAAATTAATTATATTAAATTTGAAATCATTTCATAGATTTAGCTGAATTATAAAAATTAAATAATTTATTTTATATAAATTAATTCAACATATAAAATAATTATATGTATCTGTACATGTACCTAGTTTATTGCTCTTATAATTTAAAAGTTCATTTTTAAAGCGGAATAGTATCACTGTAATCGACAAGCCCAATACAAGAACAATTGTAACACAAATTTGACCAATCCAATTGCAAGCTTATGTGTAACACATTTTACTATATATATCGATGGCAACCTGTAACGGTAATCAGTAATATTTAACCTCACAAGGTTGTACGACAAACAACAATAACGATAATGCAACCCGGGCGGGATATACGTATCTGAACAGATCTTACGTTGTTTCAAAATTTTTATACAAATTTTAAGTATTTTGTATATATTAGCCGTTGTTATCAGATTACTGAATTTTGAAGAACCGTATCTGAATTCAAAAAATTCGTCTTGATGATATTTCTGGTGATATTCCTGATGACTCAAATTTTGGTAGGACTCGATGATTAGAAGTGTCTTGATACCACTCTCGTGAAAGTCTTCCTGATGACTAAGATTCGTCTTGGTAAAATTCTTGATGATTAAAAGTGTCTTGATACTACTCCCGGTGTAAGTCACTCTGATGACCAAGATTTTAATAAGGTTCACCTTGATAATGATTAGAAGTGTTTTGATACCACTCTTCATGCAAGTCATTCTGATGACTAAGATCTGGTAGGACTCGTCTTGGTGAAATTATTGAAACTCTCTGTGTAAGTCTTCAGACTGTTGATATTCCTGTTGATTAAGATCTCGCCTTGATAAAATTTCTGATGATTAGAACTGATTTGATACCAATCCCCGTCTTGCTGAAATTCTTGATTATTAGAAGTGTTTTGATACCACTCTCCGTGTAAGTCATCCTGATGAATAAGATTTTGGTAGGACTCGTCTTGCTGAAATTCTTGATGATTAGACGTGTCTTAATACTTCTCCCCGTGTAAGTCATCCTGATGACTAAGATTTTGGTACTCGTCTTGCTGAAATTCTTTATGATTAGACGTGTCTTGAAACTTCTCCCCGTGTAAGACCAAGCTTTGGTAGGCGTTTTGATACTGCTTCCAGTTTAAGTCATCCTGATGACTAAGATTTTGGTAGGACTCGTCTTGCTGAAATTCTTGAGGATTAGAAGTGTTTTGATACTGCTCCCTATGTAAGTCACCCTGATGACTAAGATATTGGTAGGACTCGTCTTGGTAAAATTCTTGACGATTAGAAGTCTCTTGACACCGCACTTCGTGTAGGTTTTCAGCTTGACGAATCTTTTTTAATTCGGACGAGATTAACTCGTAGGGTTTTTTTTGTTCTTTAGATAATAAACGCCAGTTATAGGCTGTTAAGCCAGAAATTACAGTAGCGTCACCTATTTCAATATTTCGGTTCTTTATATCTGCCGCGAAGCATGCCCGAAATACTATAAACGAGTTTGGTTCTTTCTTTTGTTTTTTGCCATCTCTTTTGTTTTTAGAGAAATATTCTATTGGAAGGCAACTTGGTATATAAATAAACGTATTGTTAGTCATTTTATTTTATGGAGGTGTCAAATTTTTTTGTTTGGTGAAATTCTTGATGACTTGAAGTGTCCCTCGTGTAAGTCTTCTTGATGATTAAGATTTTGTTAGGACTCGTTTTAGTGAATGATTAGAAGTGTTTTGATATCGCTCTCCGTGTAAGTCTTCAGAATATTGATTAGAAATTCTAGACGAATGAATATTTTTAATCTGAACGAAATTTTTTTCCAATGATAACTTACAAAGCGAGAAATTGCAACCTTTTTTAAGATTTAGCTCTTATTTATGCAATCCATGCTCGAAATACAATGAATGGGTTTGGTGCTTTATTTTATATTTGCCATCTCTTTCTTTCTTCTAAGAAACATTCTATCGAAAGGCAAACTGGTGTATATAAAGAGGGAAAGTTGTCATATTTCTATTTTTATTTTGTTTTTGTGAAAGTGTCAAATTTCTTTATACAAAAATAGTGTTTCGGAACTATTTTTCAAAATCCGAAACGTTTCGCTCAGTGAACTATCCGTTCCGCCCTATAAGTCCGAAACTCTAATTCGGAACTCTTATTCCAAAATGAAGGGCTAAAACAAACTGTAAAAATTAGGTTTTTTTTCGTTCCACAGAAAATTAAATAAAGTATATATAAATTATAGCGATAGATGTTTTTGTACAGTGCGTGCCATCGACTTTAACTCTTTTCTAAAAGGTTATAACTTAGGCAATAATGATAGTATAAGAAAATCTCTGCTACAAAGCCGAGTAAAAATTTATTGCGGACAGATTTGAGCTCAAGTTATAAGTGATGGCTTATGGTGGCACGCACTGTATTATTGTTATGAAAGTTATGATATATAAAGAAGGAAAGTTGGTATATTATTAGTCATTTATTTTGTTTTGTTTTTGTGGAAGTGTCATAAAAACAATAAAATATATTTTCACACTTTAGATTCTATTAGAATTCCGAAATGAGGGGCTAAAAAACTTTGTAAAAATTAGTTTTTCTTTTCGTTTCACAGCAAGCGGTATGACGTATTTTGATTTACCGCGAAAAAGGAAATTGCTCATTCATAAAAAATCCTATTCGCACAATAATTTTTTTTAGCTTAACGTTAAGGAGATTTGGTCATTTCATGGGAAGGGGTAGTGTTTCAAATGCGCCGGCGCATAGTCGACTACGTAGTTTCTCAATGCGGCACAAGTCGATCTCTAAAAATTTCTAAATTTGGTATATATCGTGACTAGATTAGAAAATTATTTGCACGTTTTTGCGTTTTTGCAATTTTTAAAGTGAATCAAAAATCTAAAACTGCCTTTATTAATTCAAATGGCAAAACAGCACGATGGATACGATAACCAACTAATAAAATCACTTACAGAAACACAACAACCAATCAATTAAGTTGTTCTTGCCAAAAAACCACCACTACCTTTTTATTTTTACATATTTGTATCCAAGTTTATCTCGCTCACCTATTCCTAACAATCGAGCATCATGTTCATCAAGCATTATTCCTAGCAACTAAGCATCAAGTTCATCAACCATTCCTGATCAAGTATCAAGTTCATCGAACATTTCTGTTTCTGACGATCATTTCTATCGATCACTTCACATATCGATATAAAGAAAGTTGGGTACAATCATATTTCAAGCACATAAAAATTGTTTATCGTTATCAAAAATCTGCAAAATAGTGAAGATATTTCTTGTTCATTTTCTTACAAACTTACCACTTCAACAATAACAAAGCATCAAATATAACCCAGCAATTTCAAATAATCCAAGACAAAAAACAATCAAACAAATGGTTGAATCTACAACTCCTTTCCATGTATCAAACAAGAAAAAATACTTCGGAAAACCACAGGTTTAGTTATAAAATTTCCGGATTAAAAACGAAAAAATGGGGAAAATAAAAAAATTGATCCGGTAACTTTAGGCCATGATACAGTGGCTCACACATGTAACCGAACACGAAAATTAACTTTCTAGCATTTTTATTTCCATGACTATTAGTT